CTGAACGACGTGAAGCGGTCGAAAGTGTCAGTCTGGCGGAAAACAATCTCAGCAACATCAGCTCTGTGACAACCCTCGCACAGTCTTTCCCCGATATCCAACACTTGGACCTCTCAAAGAACAACATCAAAAATTCGCAGGCGATGATCGGATGGCGGTGGAAGTTCCGCAACCTGGTTTTCCTCGACTTGACTGAAAACGAAATCAGTTCCGACCCGACTTTCAAGGACACCATGCTCAAGTGGTATCCCAAGCTGCAAACGTTGAATAACGTCCAAGTGCGAACTCCGGAGGAAGTCGCAGCTCAGAAGAAGACACCGATCCCCGTCTTGCCTCCTCACTTCATTGACGAATCTCAAGTCGGCGAGAATTTCGTTCGTGCTTTCTTCCCTGGATATGATAACGATCGTAACAGCCTCGTCAGCAGTGTCTACGATGATCAGTCCACTTTCTCGTTGAATGTAAACACCACGGCTCCCCGGGCCACTCAAACCGAGACGGCAGGTTGGGGTGAATACATCAGAAAGAGCCGAAATCTTGACAAGATCAGCCATCTTTCTGCACGGATGTCACGATCCTTCAAGGGCATTGAGAAAATCCGTGAAGTTTTCAATGAGCTCCCGCCCACTCGCCACCCTGATCTTATCGCAAAGGCAGAGCAATGGCTCATTGAATGCCACCCAGTCCCTCATCTCCCCGACCCTACTGGACAGAGCCCCACTGGCGTTGGTGGCCTTTCCCTCATGGTGCATGGACAACTTGAGGAGAGCGTTGGTGGCAAGATTGAGATCCGCAGCTTCGACCGAACCTTTATTCTTGGCCCCGGTAACACTCCCGGTGGCATCAGAGTTGTCAGCGAGATTTTCTGCCTACGCGCTTACGGTGGACACGAGGCGTGGTCCCCTGAGATCCAGGCACTTTCCCAAATCCCCCAGATTGCAGCTCCCGTTCCTATTCCCACTGCGGCTCCTACACCCCTTGCAGTCCCCGCAGCTGTCTTAAGTGGCAATGTTCCTGAGGGATACGGTTTGCCCCGACCTGGAAAATCCGACACCCAGCTCCAGCAGGAGCAGATGATCACTCAGATGAGTGGCAAGTCGGGCATGACTTTCGAATACTCAGAGATGGCCCTCGCGGGTAATGGCTGGAATGTCGAGCTTGCTTGGAAGAACTTCGAACAGCTCAAGGTAAGCTAATTCCAAGGATGGCTCCCTGATTTACCAAGGAATGATAACTAACCAAACTCTCCCACAGGCAACCAACGCACTTCCTCCCACCGCTTTTATTGCTCCGGCGTGAGCTTGCACTGTTCTCTGATTTCATTGAAATCTTCCACGTCCACTCCCACTTCCATTGTTGTTAGCTAGTCAGTTTTATCTCGGGAGTGGTTCTGTGGAAGCTAATGTATCTGATGTGATCATACTTTTTTTTACTTGCATGGCTTGGGCGAATGGCACTGGTTTGATAGTCTCCAAATCTGGACATGGGCCACTAGGCCAGGAACTTTTATGAAAACCCAAAAAAACCAATCAAATGAATCCTCTTCTAATATCTCACTCAGGATATGTGTAACAAACTGTAGACTTCAGAATCACAAGGGTTGTCTCTATAAATACCCAACAAACCAGCCCTGTAAGGATTGCGGTAGTTGCGGAAGATGCCAAGCTGGCGCGCTAGAGCCATGCGGGCCGCGATCAACATCACCCATTCAACTTCTCCCTCCCACGAATTCCGCATTGGCCTCACAAAAAGCAAGTTGAGACCAAGGGCAGGATGATTCTGGTAGGCTGATGGAATGACGATCACTGCCACAACCACCGGCCACATGTCGCCAAACGAGGAACCAAGCCTCGACGCCTTGGATGCGGGTGCGGAACAATTGACATTTCATTCTCACTGTTGTATATGCTGACATAGGAGTACATCCAGTGGACTACGATCCGATTGAACACTTGAATGCCGTTTTCTCCCATCCATCCACCCTCTCCTCCGTTTCTCAGATCGCCGACGCCCTGAACAAATGCGAAGATGAGCTGGACGATGACATCGGCATGCTGGTGGAGGAGCAGGTCACCTCCAATGCCGGTAGCGTGGAACGAATCCAGGCAGCTAAAGACGACCTGTCGGAGCTGTTCAAGAAGATCGATGACGTGCGTGAGCGCGCATTGAAGACCGAGCAGGCAATCACCGACATGACAGCCGACATCAAGCAATTAGACAACGCAAAGAAGAACCTTACACTATCGATGACGGCGCTTAAGCGCCTGCAAATGCTGACTACAGCGTATGACCAGCTCCAAGCTCTCAGTCGGACGCGACAGTATGGAGAATGTGCACAGCTACTCCAAGCTGTCATTCAGCTCATGGCCCATTTCAAGTCGTACCGATCGATTGATCAAATCGCAATGCTCAGTCGGAATGTCGCGGACATACAACGAGACCTCCAAGAGCAGGTCTGTGAGGACTTCGAGCTGGCCTTCGCCAAGGGGGAGGTAGGCTCGAAGCGTGCGATGCTCGCGGAGTCGTGTCTAGTCGCAGATGCTCTGGGTGAGCACGCACGGTCCCGACTGGTGACTTGGTATTGCAATACACAGCTCCGCGAATACCGGCAGGTCTTCCGGAACAATGAGGAGGCTGGATCATTGGATAACATCTCCCGCCGATATTCATGGTTCCGGCGCATATTGAAAATATATGACGAAGAGAATGCGGCTATCTTCCCGGCTTCGTGGAGGGTAAATGAGGTATTGGCCAATGTCTTCTGCGAGGGCACACGGGATGATTTTAAGGGTATCCTATCCCGATCTGTACGCAGCGGGCAGACGATCGATGTGAATTTGCTCCTCTCGTGCTTGCAAGAGACACTCGATTTCGAGCATTCTCTTGAGCGCCGCTTCGCCCCTTCGTCGCGTGTATCTGTTGATACATTTGCCTCTGCCGAACCGCCTGTATTCAAAGAGTCAATTTCCGAAGCCTTCGAGCCATACCTCAGTGTCTGGGTCGAGGCTCAAGACAAGCAACTCGCAGCCCTGCTACCGAAATACCGCCAACAACCTCTGAAAGTACCGGACGAAGAGTTCAACTCGCATATTGTGATTTCATCTTCGACTGAGCTTTTCACTTTCTATCGGCACGCTTTGCAACAATGTGCTAAGCTTTCAACCGGTGGCAGTCTAGCAGAGCTGGCCAAGGTGTTCGCCAAATATCTGGACCGATACGCCCAGGAGGTCCTTCTCAATTATATAAGTGAACGACCAACACTTCACACGCCGTCTAGGGTGCCGTCGGTAGAAGATTACGTCTCAGTCTTGAACACTGCTGATTACTGCTATACGACTTGCTCCCAACTGGAAGAGAAGATTAGGGGTAGATTGGATGAGAACCTGAAGCAATCCGTGGATCTGCAAAGCCAGGCGGACTCTTTCATGGGCATTGCGTCCGCTGCAGTACGAGGCCTTGTGCGCCAAGTCGAAGTTGATCTCGAGCCCTCCTGGCGCGAAATGCGCAATACACCTTGGTCTAAAATCGAGGCAGTCAGTGATCAGAGCTCGTATATGGGCGAGATGCTCTCCCGGACGAAGGAGAAGGCAACTGGGATTTTACAGTTGTTGCATAAGCAGCAATATGCGCGTGCCTTCTCCGATCATCTGGTGGAGCTCATGTCGAGCCAGTTCATTAGCAACGTCTTCCAATGCAGACCGCTTTCAGAAACTGGCGCAGAACAGGTATGATGTCCCTTCTGCGATGTAATTGTATATTTTACTAACTCCATTCATAGATGCTTCTCGATTCGTATACTCTCAAAAGCGGCCTTTCATCCCTGCTCCCTGCTCCAGCGCCCGCCGGCTTTGTCAAGCGTGTGAACAGCAGCTTCTTCAAAATCGAAACTCTCCTCAAAACCCTCCAGGTCCGGCCGTCACCACCGGAAGCTCTTGTGCAAGCATACCTCATCCACATTGCTGACCGCAACAACACCAACTTCCGCAAAATACTTGATCTCAAAGGCATCCGCAGCCGCCAAGATCAAAATCACCTTGTAGAGCTATTCAATCTTCACCGTGCATCAGATCGCTATGCATCCAGCCTTCAACAGAGCAACCCAATACTCGCCGCTCTCCAAGGGCCATCTACTACCACCACCGGCTCCGTATCCCAAGGCCTGGGTCTAGGCAGTGCCGCCGCGGCCATGCCCTCGCGTTTTGACGCCTCCATGCTCGGCTCTGCCATCATGTCCGCTGCCAAAGACGGTGTCGACCGCTTCGGAAACCCCAATCTGAGCATGGGTCCTGGTGTGGCTGGGGCTACTGGGACAACTACATCTACATCTGGCGTAACCAGCCCATCAGGCACCTTATCCCCTTCCCTAGCCAGCTCCAGCCTGCAATCCAATCCCATGCACACGCCAACAGAAAGCACCACCGGAAATCTCAACGAGAACCTGAAGAACATTGGCAAATTCTTCCGTCGCGATCTCGGCGGTTTTGGAGGCCGGTTCGGGCGGAGCAATGAGGATGGGGCGTAGCTTCTCCCCATCTATTTTCATTATGTCTTCTTTTTTTTTCTGGTTCTGTTTTGACTCGGGCGTGGATACACCATTGTAGAAATGTTCTTTGCCGTTTCGGTTCATTTGTTCGAGCCATTGCATGCCCGAAGGAGTAGCTTGTTTATGTACCAGGGCGCCCTGTGTTGACCTTATGTTTTGCAGTTGTATACCACTTGGATTGAATGCATTAAATGCGACATCTGTGTTATTTGGATCTAATTTGTTTATATTCTTCTAGTACACATAGGTGTGGGTCAGTTTGGTTCGAAAATATTTATTCTTTTAGTCCACGTCCTTCTAATGGCATGGCTCTACAAAATATAATATCTATATCTATATCTCTTCTCAATAGTCCCCTATAATCCCTCCCTTATCCTATTCCAAGAAACCCCCAACTCAGTAAAACATGAAATCCCGCAACCTCCCAATCCCGGGGATACCTTCCACACCCACCGACATGCAACCCTATACGAAGAAGAAGAGGACTGGGGCACAAAATGGAAGCACTAGTATGGAAAGTGGTGCAGAATTCCTCGAGAACTACGACGCATCCACAGGCCGGTGCTGGATCTTCGAGCGCAACGGCGTTCCTCGGTTGTATAGTAATATGCAGGTCAGAAACAGACTACAAGAAATGAGATATAGATGAAAGTCAACAGGTGAGTTTCAGATGGCCTCTCACCGATTTAGAGTTAAATACCCTAAGATCTTGGGTCAAAGTCCTCAATTATAGTAGGACCCTGGACGGTATGTCCAAAACACATGTGAAACCCCTGCGCCACCCTGAGCCTCTGCGTCCTCAATAAACGCAGGAGTAAGCGTGATACATCCAGTACGTCTTACACAAATAATCAAAGCTTCAAGATGATTCTGTACCTGCGGTCTGCTCCTCCGCCTCTTCGCGCATTCGTAAGAAATCTGCCCAGTTTTTGCTCACGCCATTCGATATCCTCTGGATAATTCGTTACGCGCCCTAGGAATCGCTCAAGAACACGAGCAACATATGCATTCTCAAATAATCCTTCGTCTTTGAGGACTAGCGAGTGGGGTCCGATAACTTTAGAAATATCCACGGATTCGTTCCAGAGCGTTTGCGTCGTAGATCGTGCGGGTCTATATCCCGTCCGCACCTTTTTATGCTTTATAGCCGGTAGCGTACCGGCAGAGGGAGTCTAGAAGTAGTGGGTCGAGAATACATAGCATCAATTTGTTACTACGTGGGCTAGGCGGGCGCGTACGTCTGCAACTCCTCTCTAGCGCGGTTACCATAGTAGGGTTAGCATTCGATCTATAATGGAACAAGGAGCGATAGAGATAGCAGGTAGGAAAGAATAGCGAAAAGGTGATAATCAAAACAAATTCTCTGCGTAACGTCCCAAGATTCAACCACTGGCGAATGAGGCATTTGCGCCGCTGGTCGAATAGTTTGTTAGGCAAGTCTAGATAATGAGTATCCCATTATTCCTAGAAAACGCGAATCAAGTTGATAGAGCATGAAACATTAGGAGAGGAGTCACATATAAGTATAGATGTCGAGTGGAAGAGCCCCCTATGCGGGAACCGACGTTAGATAATAAGGGGGCATTGTGGCGCATATCTACGTCACAGAAACGGAGAGAGACCGACTGAAGCATGGGAGTTATCAAGTCCTTTAGCGATGATTCTATGACGGCCTTTTCCGGACTGAACCTAGGTGCTCCAGGGCTGGTCAATAGGTGTGCCCGGGCTCGATTGAAGAAGGGTGTAAATTGTAGGATAGCTGTGGATTCTTGAAAGACCTCTTCTGTGCTGACTGTTTCAGGCTGTTTCTTCGTCTCCATTCAGGACCTTAGTGTGTAAGGGTCTTTGGTAACTTTCATATTTTCCTCAACTACATGTGCTTTCCCACCTTCTACCGAATAGGACAACAAGCTATAGGAATAGACAGTTCCCCTCCCATCATGATACCCCAATACGATATATGTAGTCCCCGGAGAGGCGCCCGAAACAGATCGTCCAACGGGGATACCTAGAACCCTGACAGGTTTCGCCGAAGATCCGGCAGGTGGGCCGGGACCTGGCGGACAATGCTTGTGACAACACCATAATGCTTGCTTTTTATTCATTTTGGTTCAGACTGGTGAAATAGATGTTCATACTTTTCTTTACTCATTATTCAACCTTGAAAGTATTGTACTGGACGATCTATAAAAACCAAAGCTACAGGCCTGTAGATATAAAGACCAAAGTATGGAACAACATTTCATGGTCTCAACCAGAGGTCTCCCTAGGCGTGGGTCTCTTCTCCAAAGACACATTATTCTACTTATAGCGATTTTGCACAGAGAAGACCACCCCGAGGAGAAGATTTTCCTATTCGGGTCGTTTTCGTTTTCGCGAGTATCAACTGAACCCTTGATCTCCACTTTCTTCTGCTGAACAATTTTATTATGTGGGGCCCGATTTCATCTAAATGATCAGCATCCGAAGCAATAACCGTTTTGGTGCAGATTCTGGAGAGTCTGAAACACCATACAATCAAGGGACCAATGTACAATGTTGAAGCAATTGAATAGGGGCGCGTAGCTCATACATTGCCTTCTATATAAGATGGGTAGCCAGCTGTCTTGTTCTCTGTTCCCAGCAATACCAGCACTCCATCTTCTTCACCCTTCCACTTCTCTTTTTTTACCATGTTTCCCATCGCCGTTTTAGCACTGGCTGCTGCCGCCCAGGCACACACAGTCGCCTGGACCAAAGGCATGTACTGCTCTGGGGGCCCTGATCTCTCTACCGTCAACCTCAATACCAACACAGCAGTGGGGCCCCTTTACAACCTCGCCAAGGAGGACTGGTGGTTCCAACACGAACGTGGATGCGATGCAGCACCGCCGCAGGACGGCGAGGTTCTCGAACTCCCTGCTGGCGGGAGCTTCACCGTCGAGCTCGCCCATAACCGGGCGCAGACTACACTGTCATACGGTGGACAGTACGCTTCTGATTGGCCGGATGGAAACGATCACCCAGAAGACTGGGCCGGTCCTGGAAGTCCGCCAGACTGCATCCAGGATGACGGTGCAATGCATACCAACAACCAATCCATGGCTGCTGGTACCGCGTTTGCGATCAGCTATCAGTCAGATCTAGCCGATGTCACAATCGACAACTTGGCCGTATTCACGGTCTTGGAGCAGTAAGTATCTTTCAAGAGATGGGTGCGTGAAATGATTGAAGTTCTAACCTATATCTTAAGCACCCCATGGAAACGTATCGCTACCTATGAAGTTCCAGCGGATCTTCCTGCCTGCCCTGAGGGTGGCTGCACCTGTGCTTGGCTCTGGGTAAGTGGATGAATCAAGTATACCACGATATAAACTAACGCATTTGCAGGTGCCGAACGGCTGCGGACAACCTAACATGCAAGTACCTGTTGTCACAGTGTAGGATTTTGACTGCTAACTTGAAACCTAGGTACATGGCCGGCTACAAGTGCAATGTGACAGGCTCAACATCGTCCAAGCAGGTTGCACCTGCTCAAGTCGCGGCTTATTGCGGAGATGACTCGACCAAGTGTGTCAAGGGCGCCAAGCAGATGATTGCTTTCAACCGTAAGATATTTGAATCTTTAGTCGCACTTTTTTATACAGTTAATTGACTCAAGCAGAACAAACCGGAAACAACGTTCAAGTGCCCAATGGCAAGACACCGATGTACAACACGGCGTGGGGTTGGGAATCAGGTATGTATTCATTCCGGACGACTCTTCAGCAATGATAAACTAATGACAAATTCTTACATCGACAGGTGCCCAAAATGATATTTTCGTGTGATCAGGACCAGGTAGTCATAGCAAACAGCTTGTTCATGACGTGATTGTCTCGATCCACATGGATCGCTGTGTCATATGCTTCATGTTTGCTTGCTCGCTCGTTTGCTTGCTTGCTTACTGTTTATATAGTCTTCTGGCTTGCATTCCATAGATTGTTTGTTAGATAGCTAAGCGAGAAGCTTGGGGCAGCTATATTAACTGGCTGCTTCCCACTTTGCAACTTGCTTCTATCTTAGTTATTTTGAATAGAATGCACTCTGCTTCCTTTGCAAGATCTGGCACGTCACAGGACGGAAGATAGAAGGAAATATGGGAAATGAGGAATACTTTCTAGGAAAGAAGGATGATTCGATGATGTACAGGCAGTTGAATACAATACTTATTCTTGTTCTTCCTATAGTTCCTCGGTAATCTCTATGGGAGTCGGGATACATCCGCTCTATTCAAGCTTAATGAACTTAAACATGTCGTATGTCTTATTTAGTTCGCTACAAGACTGTATGTACAGTGTTCTCCGTGGAACGTACCAACTATATACTAAACTCGATCAACGGCTTGAATTATTTCCAAATGTCCGAATATATTGGGATTCTCCCGAGCCCAAAGCAGGGCCATGAGGCTCGGAGCCTCACATTAGGTAAATGAAAGGCAGAGAAGAGTGCGCTGGGCCCACACCAATGCACCCGCTTTCCTCGTAATCTAGAGGATAGTCACTCTTGACTACAATTACCCGGGAGAAGATTACTTTGAAGGAGATTCTGGTGGGATTGGATCCCTATCTGACTACGCCATGCTGAAGAACCTACTCAATAGGTGTTACAGACGATGATTACCTACCCAAAGTCCCGCTCGTATTGTTGCTTCCAGCCTCTTTGGAGCGACTATATATAGCGAATGTGTATGTTTGCCGTGTATATATCCTGATTGAAGAACCAAAGAATCTTGTTTCTGTCTTAATAAATCGCTTCCCTCAACTGAAAATGATTGAAATCGAAGGGGACTGGAATACGCCGCTAATGGATAAAGAGATATACGACAGGACTTCAGAAATTAGATGTACCATTCCATATCCGTCATGTGATATGGAAGACTGGCAACGAGGAAGAGAGGTAGCAGACGAGGACTATTGGGCCAATGAGGATAATCTTAGCAAGGAGCATTCGTCTATTTAGATCGATAGCTGGGTACTGAGGCTCTAAGTAGCATTGTTGCCGAGGTAAGGAACTGTCACGTCACGCCACGAACGTGGTGTCTTTCGATTTTTACCCGAATAGTCCACCGGAACTCATCGCGCCACGATGTAGCCACGAGACAGACACTCCTTCATATTACCTATTGTACACTAGTCAACATACCTACCACTGAAGTTCACAGGACGACCTTGGAAGTCCCACAGAGGACCTTGAGGACTTCTAAGGAAGCTATCTCGTCGCACTCCCCCTTCTCCTCTTCACTCTTACGACTTACACGCACGACTACCAACATATCTCATACCAAACAAACCATCCAAAGGATGAGCAAATAAATGCATTGGAACGAAACATACAATGTCTATTCAAGGGTCATCATCGAGGCTAACAAAAAAAAAGCACGAATCCACCATGGTCACGGCGCCCCTCCTAGAACTTCGTCCTAGAAAGAAGCTAGCATGGGCAACATGAACCTGTTAGATCCGTTCGCAAGAGCCAGGCCCGCGATCGTGGTCTCATCTCATCCATCTTCGATTCATGACTCTTTCCCATTGTCAGCGCAACTCCCCACACAAACCCCGGTTCCCATGGAAAAATAAAATGGGCGACAGACGTGAAAAAGCAATGGAAAAACAAGGATCAAGGACCCGAAACGTGTATGCAAGAGGGATAAAAAAAAGTTGGACAAGGCGCGGAGGGATTGGAAACAGGATTACAGGAGAAATTGGGAAATGGAATCCGAGAAGACAAAGAGAAAGAAAAAAAAAAAGAGAAATTGATATCTTCCGGGTTTTCGGAGGAAACGCCATTGCAAAGCATAAAGAAAACAAACAGGTTCCCCGCGTTGAATCGGGGTTAAGGAGAGGGGCCCCTTCACATGGTATCATAAGCGAAGGCTTCATCATTGGCCTAGCATCAACCCCCATTTACGGCATGAAAATTATCTCCGAAACCCTTTTACTGCGAAGCGCACTGCACCCGCTCAGCACCGCCGGGCACATCGTCTTCATCCTCGTCCATGCCGGTCGCGGCCGCGCCGTGGGCGCGGGCCTGGTCGTGCTCGTTCGCGGGGTCCTCAAGCTCGAAATCCTCGACCATAGCGTCGGTCGGGGGCACGATCTTCTCAGAGCGAGGAGGAAGGACCTTCTCCAAAAGTTCTAGGTTCTGGAGCTCTTCCTTCTTCGGGAACTTGACATCGAACTTGATGTATAGGTTGCCGTGATCGTGGTGGCGGAACGAGGGCATACCCTGGCCGTGAATGACCTTGATGGCATCTGAAAGGAATTGTTAGTAACAAATTTCACAAGACTTGTGGGGAAAAGCAAGACAAGTCACATACCAGGAACGATAACCTCGCCAGGGACAATGTTCACGGTCAACCACCGCTCATCAAGGTGTTCAATGTGGATGGCACCGCCGGCAAGGGCGGTAAGCAAGTCGATCTCAGCCTGGTAGAAGAGGTCGTCGCCCTTGCGCTGGAAGCGGGGGTGGGGCTTCTGCTCAATCTCGAACACGACATCTCCGGGCATGACACCAGGCATCTGGTCACCCTCGCCGCGGAATTCAATCTTGTGGCCGTCGCGCACACCTTTGTCGACGTGAACGTGAAGCACCTTGCGCTCAACGACGGTTTTCTTGCCGTTACACTTCTTGCAGCGATCCTTATCACGGACGATCTCGCCCTCGCCGTTGCAGTCGGGGCAGACGGTCTGGAAGCGCTGGATCATGGGACCCATCTGGCGCATCATCGTCTTCATGCCGCTACCGTTGCAGCCCGCGCACTCCTTGACAGCACCTTCCTTTCCGCCGCGGCCATCACAGCCACTGCAGATGACGGACTTCTGGAGTGCCAACTTGGATACCTTGCCCTTGTAGATATCCTCGAGGTTCACCTTGTGCACGTGGTGGATTGTGCGGGCCTTCTTAGGGCCTTGATCACGCATGCCGCCGCCGAACATTCCACCGAAGGGGCCGCCGCCGCCGCCGCCGAAGAATTGAGAGAACAAATCCTCGGCGTTCATGCCACCGCCGCCGCCTCCGTGCTCCAGGCCTTCCTCGCCGAGCTGGTCATAGATTTGACGCTTCTCCGGGTCGCAGAGAGTCTCGTAGGCGTGCGACAGTTCCTTGAACTTCTCTGCGGCATCGGGATTGTTGGTGTTCTTGTCTTCATGTGACGAAGGGGTGTCAGCTGAATGTTTCCTAAATATGCTATTGGAGTCTCCCGGGGTTGTTACATACCAGGATGGTACTTGAGAGCACCCTTCTTATAGGCAGTCTTGAGCTGAGCCTCAGTAGCGGTGGGAGCGACCTAAATGAAAGAAACACCAAGTCAGATTTCAAGCACGAATCACACCGGTTTCGAGAACCAGCCAAGTGTAGCTTTGCATGGTTTAACATACCCCGAGGGTGTCGTAGAACTTTGTTTCCTTGACCATTGTGAAGTATGCGGGGAATCAGAGGCGTAAGAAAGAGAATCGATATTAGGTATTCCCGTTGGAATCCAGAAGTGAAGCGGGAGAATAGAGGGGAACAAAGGCGAAAATTTCAGTGTGCTTTTATATGAGAAATGCCAAACAGACAACAATTGCGGTTATTTGAAGTCCTGGCTGGGGGGAGATGAAAAAGTGGAGGGAAGAGAAAGGGCGAGATGGTTTATCTGAACAATAGTCGAAGCCAAAAAAAGGCTGAGTAACTTTTTTTTACCTAGGCGTATGAGACTCGTAAGATTACCCACTCAATTACCAGGGCAACTAAGAATTGACGGTTTTTTCACTGCGTTTTCTTTGTCTCGCTTTGAGGCCGATTTTACAATTTTTCAGTCCAGAATCGACAATTTGCTCTACAATATGGGCTATTCTTCGTCTCCAGCTCTTCTGGTGGCTTCTATGTACATCCTGAATTGGCCCGAGCGCTGATTCTACGGGATTCCGCGGTCTTCGATGGAATTCGCAAGTCTTCTCCGCGCTTCCATGTTTTATTTTATTACGCTGACTAACGGAGTATATTTCACGCATCAGAGGAATGAGCACTCCCTACCAAATGGCTGTTAAATTTGGCGATTTATTAGCTTCATGTCATATATATCACATGGGGTTTGCATACTGTTTCCTGCGTGCAATCCCTGTGTACCAGAAACTCAACAATGCAGAAATCTCGAACCCCTCGCCACTATCAAGCTAAAAGCCACCCTTCAGCCACATATATCTTATCGATAAGCCAAGAGGCGAGGAGGAAATAAAAGCTCTTCAAGGTCCACTCGGTTCTTTCGTCATAGAGGGGTTCGGAACTCTCCGACCATGCCGATTATGTCTTGGAGTAGATTCCCGTATCTCGTAGTCTTCTTATCTTGCCCCTCTACTTCGTAGCTCACACTCAGCTTACCTACTACACACTCCGAAATGGAACAAGATCCTGGATTCATTGCTGCCGTCGAAGAGGCGAAGCAGGGCCTCTCTGAGGGAGGTGTGCCAATCGGTGCTGCCCTAGTCTCGAAGGATGGAAAGATCCTCGGCCGTGGTCACAATATGCGCGTCCAAAAAGGAAGCGCTGTCTTGCATGTCAGTATAGCATGATATACTGCATTGATATCAATTGTCGATCTATATCTATACCCAATATTACAGCGTTCATAGACTACCGCTAACACACACACAAGGCCGAGATGTCTGCCCTCGAAAACTCGGGCCGTCTTCCTGCCTCTGCTTACGAGGGTGCTACTATGTACACCACCCTCTCGCCCTGTGATATGTGTACCGGTGCTTGTATCCTCTACAAGGTGAAGCGCGTCGTCATTGGTGAGAACAAGAGCTTCATGGGTGGCGAGGAACTTCTTCTCAACAAGGGCAAGGAGGTTGTTGTCTTGGATGATGCCGAGTGCAAGGAATTGATGACCAGCTTCATGAAGGAGAAGCCTGAGCTATGGTATGTTGTGTTTGGTGCTCGATCTATCGCAATGCGTAAAGCGGCTGTCGGTCTGCTCGCAGTTGTGTCGAGGGGTTTCGGTTGTTTCATGATCGTCAATACTAACTGTAGTGTCTGCTATACAGGAACGAGGATATCGCTGTCTAATTTCATAAGGCCTGCATATATCATAGCCCTAAATACCCGAGAATTGAAAATATCCACGCCCAGAATATGTGTTTTTAGAATCCAATGTAGACTTTTTATCTGAGTCGGGGAAGAAGCCGACCGCTTTAAGATTCAAGAAAGGCACAATTATACCGTCAAACGGTGGATTTCCTCAAAGAAGAACTTGAGGTTCTCGGGGTCGACGAATGGAGTGACACCTGCGTTGAGAGACAGTTAGTTAGATGACATACAGCGCCAAATTATAAGGTTCGACTTACCGTGGCCCAAGTTGCAGATCCATCCCTGCTTGCCCTTCTTGAAACCCTCGACCATGGGCTCAACAGTGGCAGTAATAGCAGGGGGCCCACCGTAAAGCATGCCAGGATCCGCATTGCCTTGGATTGTCACACGACCGTTGGCAATACGCATGGCATCACCGGCGTCGTGCAGCCAGTCCAAGCCGACAACATTATAGCCTGAATCGCAAAGGTCATCCAGAGCGTACCAGGCGCCCTTAGCAAAAACGGTCATAGGCACAGGCTCCAAGCCCATCTCCTGCAGCCGCTTGGGGAGGTTGGCGGAAATGTGGCGCAGATAAGGAAGCGAGAAGGACTTGAACGAGACAGGAGACAGCTCCCCGGCCCACGAGTCAAAGACCTGCACCAGCTGCGCTCCAGCGGCGACCTGGAGTGCGAGATATTCTACACATATCTCGGCAATCTTCTGCAGAAGAGCCTGCGCCTCGGCAGGGTACTTGTAGACCCATTTCTTGGACTGCACGAAGAGCTTGCTGCCACCGCCTTCGACCATGTAACACAGCAGGGTCCATGGTGCACCACAGAAGCCGATCAGGGGCACCCGGCCCTTCAGCTTGTGTCGTGTGAGGGTAATTGCCTTATAGACGTAGTCCAACTCTGCTTTAACATCCACATTCTTCGCCATCACATTTTCGTACTGCCCGTCCGTCGGAGAGTCGAGTGGCGCGGGAAAATGAGGTCCCTTCTTGTCCAGCATCTCCACGACCATGCCCATGGCCTGAGGAATGACTAGAATATCGGAGAAGATAATTGCGGCATCGATGAGGCCTTCATAACGCTCAACGGGCTGGAGGGTCAAGGTCGATGCGATTTCGGGTGTGCGGCAGCATTCGAAGAAGTCACGGCCGCCCTTAGCCTCATGGTATTCGGGGAGGTATCGGCCAGCTGTTTAATGGAAAAAAAATCTCAATCAATTGTCCTTGAGAACGTAGTGCACGAATAAGTCTAACTCACCCTGTCGCATAACCCATATCGGAGGACGCTCCACCTTCTCACCTGCGATTTGTCAGCTCCGGCCAAAACTAAGATACAGAGTAAACATACCCCGTGCAGCCCTCAGAAGCAGGTCGTTTTTCAAAGGCTCAAATTGTTCCTGCATTGTGTTGGTGGGATATGCAAGTGCGATGGAGGGGGGAAGTGGGATTATAAGAAGGTTCTCCGGGTACCGCGGCCCGTCATTATCGGAAAACATAGTGACAACGCTTTATACCCGTAGCATCATAAGTTCGTTTTCTTCCCGAGGTTTGTTTTTGCACAAAAAAAAAAAAAAAAAAGAGGAAAAAATGGCGATACATAGGTATTTCCATGTTCATTAGAATATAGCTGGAATCCGAGTTATCACATCCATTAACATGTTTGTGTGTTTCGCCATTGGTCATCACCGGTACATCTTGTCTCTTGTCTTGTCAGACAACTTGTTCTTACAGAGGTTGATCTATCCACCCTTCTATATCAATATATCAATTAGGATGTTACCCCAAGATACCCTGTTGCCGGTCACTACGATCATAGTATGACAGCCATATGGTTACTCCGTAGCTCACAGGCCACTAGAGCTCCCGGGAGCTTGGAGACGCTCTAGCCTGTTTCTAACCACCATAAGTATTGCTGAGAACCATGACTGGAGTTCGATTAGATTGGACCTTTCGTGGGATATCTTCAGCAGATCTAGACTATCGCGATGGATTATTAATGTCGCAGCCCTCGGGCTATCCTATCAGGGTACACTCTGACTTACGACCTACCTTGGTGTGGGAATGGTAGATATAAAAGCAATAATAACTCCCCTTGCTGGTTGAATAGCCTTCCTAAGAGAAGATTAGATCTCTCGCATCTTAGGACCTCTTGTGACCACGCGGATCAGGGTTCCACTCATTCGTAATAGCTATTCTTTGTTGCATACCCTGACCAATCTCCTAAAGATATACACCCAAAGACCATGGTCAATCTCAGAAATATCCTATATGATACCCTCGCATGCGGGCTTGCCAACCTATGTCTTGCTAGAGAGACAGTCAAAACAAAAAAGGTATCTGTGAAAAGATACTAAGAATATATATTTTGATCTGGATCTAGCGAATTTTGCGATTATGCTCCCTCTTCCCTCTTTTAGACACAATGGAGATTGCTACATTAAATATGTATTTGGAAATCTAATTGATCATTTGCTGTACATTCATCAAAAGCATGCTTTCATTCGTCGTAATCACCTCTCTTCCGCAGGTTGCCCAAGTTGTACATTGAATCATTGAGTTCTTTCTGCTCTTTCTGCTCTATTATCGTAGGCAGACTTGAGGTGCCTTCGGAGTTGATTTTGATGACCATCAAGTCCTCTACAGGAACCCATTTCCCAGAATCGAGCCGGAATGTTTCGAGAAGAGGCTGGGAAGACGACTTCCAAGCACATGTCGAATCGGATTGGCGCAAAGTATCCACGGCAACAACAATAGAGCCTCTGGAATCAATATCGACCAGTTCAAGAACGTTTCCTGACAGCTGAAGTGTATCTTGGTGAGTTATCGTGTTGTCACTTTCGAGAGTGTAGCAAAGAAGTTGTGAAGACCTGCTCTCGACGTTAGGACAAATATAGATATCATCAATGGTTGTTAGAACGTACCCATCAAGTGCAACAAAGATAGCCTTCACAGAATCGGGATTGCCTGCCGTGGGCGCAAGGGAAACATCCCAAATGCCGCGCACCGTAGTCTCTCCCTCCGACCCAGGAAGCTGAATTTTTTGTAAAATCCGGGTTTCGAGCCAGTCCCACACAAGCAGATAGTTGTCGCCACCACCCGAGATGAGAACTTTAGGTTCGAAGCAAGGGACGCAAAGACTGCTGACAAATGAAGTGTGGCCAAAGCAGAATTGCTCAATTACATGCGCTTGGGGAACACCACGAGAGACACGGATGTGCTCATCGCGATCTCCAGTCAGGATGTAACTCCGCTTGCCAACAGCCGAGTCTGCAGGCCGGGTCACAGAGATTAAATCCGTCAACAACGAAACGTGACCAATGATGACTTGATGCTCGAAGTTCAGCACAGCTCTTTCTGCTTGGTTGGTCTTCGACAGAGCAGCCTGTCGCATTTGTTGCTCCAATGACTCAAGGTTGCGTTTCGTGTGCACCGTGAGGTTTGTGGCAGCTGGTTCATACGGTTTCGCTGGAGCCTGAACCTTCACGTACTCTCCACTCGGAATGAGTGGGAAAGTGTATACATCTCCGAATTTGTCACCCGTCAAGATGTTGTTCTCATCGGGAGTCAGGGTAAGTGCAGAAAGCTTCTTAGGCATTGTACTATATATGATGAGTTTGGCGAACCTGCAGATAGAAAGACAGCCACTCACCGGGCACTCAATTGCTGGAGTTTGCCTTCGTTATCCAAACTCAGGACTCGGACACACTTGTCCTCAGAGGTCATGATCACTACATATTTGCCATGGGCAACAGTCAAGAGAGGAATATTGGTCCAGGAGTTGGAAGCGTCCTTGTTCGAATCCTTAGGATTTGACTCCGATTTGGCATCCTTCTGTTCCTCGGAGGGTGAAGACAGCTTCCTTCGCTTTTCTCGGGGACCTTGGCTTCCAGATGCGGGAGCCGCGTCAGAGCTTTTATCATCCGCATTGGCATCTACGGGTTGAGGCCACACATCCAGGCGCTGACCACTGGATGCATCGTATGAGTAGAGATTGCGTCCAGCAGTGGCAATAAGAATATCCGATTGGCCTGCTGACTGCCTGTTGACATATCGCAGACACTGGAATGGGTGTTGGAGACCGGCCATGATGAAGTCTTTGATTCACAGAGTGGAAATGATCGACAATCTCACAAATATGCCAATTGCGTACTACTAATTGTAGTCAAGAAGACAACAAATAACAGTAATCGCTCCCAAGATTCCTCTGATCGAATTCCGGCCATGTCTGTCCATCATGGGCGGGTCTACTTTCTGAATCACGTGACCCACTAGCGAGCGCACCACCAAAATTGATTCCCCAAAACCGCACACCTCTTCTTTTTTTTCTCTTCCATTAACCACCACAACAATAGACTTTCCCTTAAACAACCTATCTTCACTAAAATCAAGAAGAAATGGGGGGCAAGTCCGCAACCAAGTCTGCTTACTTTGAGAAGCTGCGTGCTCTGTTAGTTTCTCAATGGCGCCTAGCAATTGACTCCATTCAAAAATTCTAACAATCTTCTGTTATAGTCTCAATGAGTACAGCACCATCTTCATCGTGGGAGTTGACAATGTCAGCTCTCAGCAGATGCACGAGATCCGTATCGCTCTCCGTGGAGAGGCCGTCGTCCTGATGGGTAAGAACACCATGGTTCGTCGTGCCCTCAAGGGTTTCGTCACTGAGAACCCCGAGTGGGAGCGTCTGCTTCCCCACGTCCGTGGCAACGTTGGTTTCATCTTCACCAACGGTGACCTCAAGTCTATCAAGTCTAAGATTCTTGCCAACCGTGTCGCTGCTCCCGCTCGTGCCGGTGCCGTCGCCCCCGATGATGTGTGGATCCCCGCTGGTAACACTGGTATGGAGCCCGGTAAGACCGCCTTCTTCCAGGCTCTCGGTGTCCCCACCAAGATTGCCCGTGGTACCATTGAGATTGTTTCCGACCTCAAGCTTGTTGAGGCTGGCAACAAGGTCGGTGCCTCCGAGGCTACCCTCCTTAACTTGCTGAACATCTCTCCGTTCACCTACGGTATGACCATCGCCCAGGTCTACGAGAACGGTCAGTGCTTCGGCGCTGAGGTTCTTGACATCACCGATGAGCAGCTCCTGGCCGCCTTCTCCCAGGCTATCGCTACCATCACCGCTGTCTCCCTGGGTGCCAACTACCCCACCCTGCCTTCCGTTATCCACTCCCTCATCAACGGATACAAGAAGGTCCTCGCTGTCGCCGTCAGTACCGACTACAGCTGGCCCGAGATTGATGATCTCAAGGACCGCATCGCCAACCCCGATGCGTACGCCTCTGCTGCGCCTGTCGCCGCCGCTGCTGCCACCTCCGGCGGTGACGCCCCTGCCGCCGCTGCTCCTGCTGAAGATGAAGAGGAGTCCGATGAGGACATGGGCTTCGGTCTCTTCGACTAAGCGCCCCTCGACGGGATGCGGATGCCATGTATTAGATTTACTTGAACTGGCGCTTGAAATAGCGACCGGGAATGAAAGAACATGTCTTGGCAATGGATTTCCCTCGGAAACCTAGGACTCGTATGATGGACGTAGCTACGCCCATTGTTCGTTTCCACAGAATTGGTGAGTTTTCCAATTTCCCCCCTTTTTGCTCCTACCCCTTGCACACACACCACCTCACATCACCCTGGCGGATGATTATAAATTTTTAACCCCGAGCATTTACGCCCCCCCTCCGGGGCGCTCTGAAGATTAAATTAATGCAACAACAACACTCTAATTTTTTGATGACGCCATGCCTTTACCCTCACACATGCTTTTGGCTTTGACACATTTGACTGAATTTGCAAACAATTGCTAACTTGTGACAAGATTACAGATGCTCTCCATACGACCTACGATAGTAGTACCGATATGTTGTCGCCGTAGACAATTGTGTAGTTGGGTGGCTGTCGGAAATCCTCTTCGCTATCTCTATTTGTGCAGCTGCCGTAATAGATGGTTGCTCAATGAAAAATCGTTCTCTTCAAAATTATTGTTCCTGTTCGTAATGGTACTGAACTCCGTACCCACCAACGTATAACTGTTAGCAGTATAACATGAGGATTACGCATGTTTTGTATAGCAGCTCAATACGAAAGATACATAAACCCAACATATGTATAACGTCGATTTTTCACTCTCAAACTAGCGCAAGGGAAAGAGAAGAAAGCCTTACTACTAACGTTGATTCTGAATTTGTCATATAGAAGTGTAAATAAAGAGGACGTTGAACAACACCACGTAAATATTGTGTGTAGTCTAGGCGTTATCACCACCTACCACTCCGGGGTCTGACAGAGCGGATGCCAATAATCAGACAACACCTTACCTTAAGTCATTGTCTTGAAAAATGCTATGAACGAATCAAGCACTGCATTATTTCTTTCCCGCCGTTTTGTGGTCGGATTTCTGAGTGACCGATATTCATGATGTATCATTTTGTTTCTATTGGCCGGAGCTCTCTGTCCTTCAAATTGAGCTCTTGTCGCTTCACTCGCCGTTACTGGGGCGATCCCTGTTGGTTTCTTTTCCGCTTATTGCGGAAAAATTGTAGTTCCCAAACCAAGTAACTTAGATATTCCGTACTCCGTAGTGGATGGGAAATGTGATCGATCCACTTGATTATGAGACACTCAAATAGCCCAACTTACCCTCGATCGATCAAACGGCATTCCGATCGTTGCTGCCTCGGATCGGTCGATTCCCGCGGTGGGTGTTAAATGACCTTGTAGGAGAGGGAAATCCCATCATGATCTCTAGGTATTTCTCAGAGAGAGGATCTAAAGACTGGAATTAGGGTAGGTCATGGCGAGGTCTCAGTAAAGCATACGACCCGTGAATTAAATGCGGTCTTTTTCTTGCTTTGGGATATATGCCCCTTATTCCTCATCCCGCTGAGTGAAGCCGTCCCCTGAAAAAACAGATCCTTTCAATGCAAGTTTTAGCGTGGCTGTACCAGAGGACGCCTGGGATATGGCAGAAAAGTGGATAGAGAACGGGCTTCTTGTAACGGCTTGCCATTGGGAGTTGCTGGGAGTTGCGGTGTAAAGGCGGCCGTTTCTGGCGCCAGAAGCTGTCCTTTTCGGTGTTATTTTCGACAGGTCTTAAGTTTTATATTAGTGAATTTCCTTTTCACGTTAGCTTTGCCTTTTGGGGCTTAGCGTCCTCGTAACCTCCCGACCTCGGGAGGTCCCCGCTGATATAACCTTCTCTTTGTTGCCTAATAACGGCTTTGTTAGAATCTGCAGGAAGTGAGACAACCTCGAACGAAGAACAGGAGCCACCTCATACTGCTAATTCCAAGGAGAAATGACAGGAGAAGAGTTCCCCCAAGCAACCTGCGGCAGCCTGAACAATTACGCGCCCAATCTGACCAAGATAGCCTGGAGCGAAGGGCTGAAAAAAGAGACGCCGGTAATACAAGAGCACTTCAAAATCTTTTAATATTATATGGTGGCACAAGCTATTCATTCGAACTCTGAGCATGTCCCAAAATAACCACGTGCTTTGACAGACGAGATATCTTGACAGACTAGGTAGTGTAGCGAAGGAAAATGATTGAAGTATCAGCTTTGGCCACAAAAAAAAAAGAATTTTCGCGTCCACAAGTTACGTCCGCTCCATCCACTGCTGCAGAACATCAGCAACTTGCAAACTATTCTTCTCCATGAAAACCAAATGTCCATTTCCATGGATGCCGATATCTGCCAGCTGGAGATGTTGCGCCGGGACACCTGCCTGTTGCAGAAACCGGACTGTGCACCAGTCATACGGCGCGTGGTAAGACGATTCGGTCGTCACGACCAGGACGGACACATGAGCAAGATTGACGAGCTGTCTCGGTGCGGGGGAATTGGCCTGAATTACGCAGTCGGAATACAGCGACGAGTTGGAGGGGATAACATGCTTCACAAGGTCGACCGGATCAGCCACAGCAGGCGAATATGTTAGGGGGATGTCGGTAAGCCCGTAGGCGCGCGTGGAGGAGTTGCTGAAGATGGCGTCCTGGAACGGAGGGCCGGTGGGCTCGATCGAGACGATGGAGTGAACGAGATCCGGGCGCACATCCGCAATGAGCCAGGGCATACATCCTCCCTGGGAGTGGGAGAGGAGGATGACTGGGGATCCAATGGTGTCAAGCAGGGCGGCGCCGGCGGCCTGGACGGTCGACTGCTGGTAGGTAGCTGAATTGAGGAATTCGACTGTCGAGGAATAGTAAGTGTCGAAATTCCGGTCGCCCATGACGCCCGTCCCGTTCCATTGGGTGTGCAGGGACGCTTGCGGCCAGAGGTTGTACAGCTTCGGTGCGGTAAAGCGCTGCTGCAACACCTCGGCACTGTAGGTGCTCAGCGTTCCATTGCCAGGGAACCAGGCACTGCGGCCGCGGAAGGTTTGATCGATGATATAGCATGCATATCCCTGAGAGAGAAAGTAAGACGCCCAGCCTTCCCCTCCGTCAGGCTTGTTGAGCCAATTCTGCCAGCATCACGGTTAACCTCTGGGAAGGGAGAGAATGGTTCAATGATACGTACGGTGCCTGTTTGAGCTTGTCCATGGATGAAGACAATTGGATACGGCTTGGTAACACCCGCGGCCGGTGTCAGTTTTTCCACGTACATCTGGTCCGCAAAGATATGTTGGCCAGCATCATTCTGAATATATTGTCCTCCAACATACATGTACGATCGCTGGGCTGGCACCTCACCGCACCAGCCTGAAGCCGCGGCAATTGCCCAGATCAATAATAATCCTGTCTTGATATGCATTTTAAGGGGATGGCCAGGGGTCAACGGACCGACAAGGATCATCAGTCAATTTATCTACCGGACTTCCTCCGCGGTCGGCCTTCTTGTTGGCCCCCACACGGGAACTACATATTAACGGAGAGATGGCGAGTTCACTAGTTAGAAGCTAGGAAATTACTCCGTAAATGGATCCTGAATCCTTCGATCTTGGAATTCCTTTTATGAGTAATGCTTGGAAAATGGTTGGGAAGTGCTCCCTTTTGATGAAGTTTCTGTAGTCTTGCTTCTGTCTCTTCTTTCCCTCTTGCTTACTTCGGACTTCCAGAGGCTTCAAAGGCCATGGATTCTACCCTCATCATTCTTTGGGTATTTACCTGGGTGGCAATTGGCTTAATTGTCCTTCGGCTGTTAGCGCGGAAATTGAGAGGATACCAGTTCGTCCTAGGCGATTATTTCGCAATGGGAGCGATTCTCTGTGCTGTCATACGCCTCGCCTTGGTTCATGTTATTCTCATCTGGGGAACCAACAATATGTCTAGCACATTCAGACGCACGCACGTTTTTACCCCCGAGGACATTCGTCGTAGAGAGATCGCGAGCAAATTCGTGCTCACCAATCGAGTGTTCTATAATTCATAGTACGTGAGTTAAACGGAATTTAAGGTCGGCTATTTCTCTTTCTCATATTTCTTTTAGTCTCTGGTTGCAAAAGTTGGTTCTGCTTGATACCTATCGCAGACTGCTCAGGCAACTTCGCTGGGAGAAGGTCACGATGATCTCCTATATTGGTATATTCGCAGCGACGTATGTAACCGTACAGACTGTGACTTTCACGGAGTGCGATCCATTCAGTCATTACTGGATCGTATTGCCGGATCCTGGTATTTCTTTCCCTCTTTCTAATTTCTCTCTTATTTTCGTGTTTCGTTGAACCTTCTAACCAATGCAGGCAAATGCTGCCAGGCACAGCTCCAATTGATCGTCCTCGGTATGCTTCCAGTCGGAAAAATCGGTTCAATGTAATACCTCTAACATTCTAGTTTCCTCAGGTGTGTTGAATGTCATCACCGATATTATGCTTATCGCCTTGCCGATTCCAATCCTGGTTCTGGTTAAACGATCCGCTGTTGAGTGAGTCTACCCATATCACCATATGAATTTCGTTGACGCGCTCTCTCCGCTAGAAAAATCCAGCTAGCGGTCCTCCTCGCCGTCGGTCTCTTCATCGTCGCAATCACCATCGTTAGACTACCTCAAAATGTCAAAAATCCCACTGTACAAGTGAACAGAACGACTTGGGCATCCGTCGAGTTGCTCGCTGCCGCTATCGTAGCCAACGCTCCAGTTCTGTACGGACTTCTGAAGGGGCGGAGCCAAAGGTCCAAGTACGCCGCATCAGGAGCCGGATCAACTGAGCCGTCGTGGCAGGGACTTCAAAAGAGGTCGGCAAACGAGCTCGAATTAGAGCTGCAACGGATCAGTCACAGTGTGGGAGGGCCTGTTCTCGGTTCAAAGATATCATCCAGGAATTATTTGGAGATCGATGGCGGGAGTAGTCAGTCGTTGACTCGAAGCCTAGATAAGTAGGGAAAAACTCGTACGGAGTATAACAGAAAGGGCTTCAAGCCGAGCTAAACGTGGACTTTATAGTCATTCGGTTTATTCGGAATTGTCCAGTGTAGCACTAGATGCCCAATATTAGTTTGTCTTGTGTAACTCATGCTGATCCCCTTTTGGCCCTATCCCAAAGGTAAGATTCGCTGGTCTCCTAGGTACGGAGTGCGCTATGTCAGCGACTTTCAATACAAGCTTGTAGACATGTTGCGTATCAAATTATCTGTGGATTCCCTCTATTAGGAAATGGCAAAAGTGTAAATTATTTTTCTAGACAATTTGCCATTTGCAACATCCTTTTAACGTGGTCGCTTGTATCAATCATGCCGCTAAGCTAGGAAACTTTCCCCTCCGCTCTCTGCTTTCCCTTCTCTCTAAGTCTCGCACCGTAGGTCCATATAAGAAAAGGCGCTGGCAAACCGAAGCCAATCATGATGAACGCCAATGTGCTATTTCCCCATCTGTATCCAGACGATCATATAGAGCCGGCGCGAATATAGGGAAGCAAAACCCGAAGATACTTCGCAAGAATTGACTGGAGGCATTCGCTGACGCCACGTATTCCCTGTAGGACTCTATGACATACTGCTGCATGGCTTGATTACTGAGAATCACTCCACAGCCAAACACCGATGCTCCAATATCGACGACGACCCACGGAGCCGTTGCTTCCGCTGACCAGCCATACCATAATAGACCGGCTATCAGGAAAACAATACCTGGAAACATCAAGGGAATTCGATATTCAGGTGCCGTCTGTCCTCGTTTGTGTGTCAGATACTTCCAGAGCCAGTCGGTGACGCGAGCGCCACCTTGAGAGGCGACGGTATAGCCGAGAACAATAGCGACATAATGAAAGCCACTGATTAACACCGATTGATGATATCTCTTTGTTCAGAGGGAGGCAAAGCTGGTGAGGACAAAGAAGAGAACGCCATAGTTGTAGGCGAGAAAGATAGCCATGATTTGAATAGTCGGCTGAGTCGCCAGCATCCAACACGGGCGCGCGAGACTATAGCAGAGCTTCCTTGCCAGTGGTTGATTGTGAACATCGGTCTTGGTATGAGAAGGCCTGCTTGTCTCCTTTTGTAATTTGATGGCCTTTCGATGAAGCAACAAACGATGATAACTTTCCGGAAAGAAAAAAATTGCATAGATAACCAAAGCAGCATCGAAGATGGAAACAACCCAGAAAAGCCACCTCCATCCGATTTTTGTCGTGATGATACCGCCGAGGATAGGGCCAATAGCCGGACCTAACAAGGGCACGAAAGTTGCGATCGCATAAGAATGACCGCGCTGCTCCGGATGCCAACAGTCTGCCAGCACCGGCGCTGTGGTTGCAAACTCTGCACTGCAAACTCTGCACTGGCTCCCAGACCACTCAGAATCCGCCCAGCCAGTAAAAGGCCCCTGGTGTGAGCAAAGCCGCAGACTGTGTTCCACAGTATATACCAGGTCGAAGACAAGATCCATACCCATCGATGACCGAACACTTCGGCCAAGGGAGCGAGAACCATCGGTCCAAAGGCAAAAGCAAGCACGAAAATCGAGACCACCATGTTGGCTTCGCTCTCACTGATGCCGAGGTCGTCACCAATATTGCCCAAGGCAGGTGCCAGCATGAATACACTGATAAGGGTCACCATGCCCCCAATGGAGCACGGCAAAGTGATGGCCCATCGCTTGGATAGGGTCCAATTGAATGGACATGCAGGATCGCCTGGACCCTTCCATTCTACCAGTAATTCGTCGCTTGCAGGATCGGGATCGGGATCCGTATGTATCCATACTTCGCTCAGCTCGGATGTACTTGGTTTTTCCATTCCATTTGAATGATCAATATGATAATAGATGCAATGAAAAACAAATCGTTACTATCTACGAAAAGACAGAAGATGGGGAAAGCAACAATTGATACTGATTTATACTACGGAGTACCTGGTCGGGCTTGTTTACAACAAACAAAGAATAGTCTTCCAAAAGTGCAGGGGTTAGCAGTAATTCCCGTCGCTTCCGGATCATCTGTTGTCCAAATGAAAGAGACACCTGATCTAAGTTATCTAATCTGATCTAGGAATTGGGCCTCTAAACTAACTGTTGAGGTGCATAGCTGCCTGATGCATCCCTGCTAGATCCCTGTCGTCAATCGAATATGATTCTCCCAACTATCTTTGCCATTACTAGCAAAACATCGAAGCTTACTGAACACACCGCAAAAATATTCTTATTTTGATTGTTTCCTTGCAGTTGGATGTGTGAGTAAAGACCCTCGGAGAGATACTACTGTCGCTGCTTTTCGAAGGACGGTGCAGGAGGTTTGAGATACGGCCGGAATCATGTCGGCCCTCCTCTCTCGAACATGATGGCTTGCTTGGCCTTCGCGAATTCCAATACTGGATTTAGACATGATTCTAGACAAACATTTGGACGGATATTGTGTTGGAAGAGAGCTAGGCCGAATGCCCTAATATTTTGGCGCTAGAGCTCCGGCGAAAGGAATCGACTATAGCCTTCTTACTGATTGTTCTCTGGGATTTCAATCAATTTGAAACGGTTAAGCCAATCCAATGATCACTATTTCCTCTAGATCAGTATCTATCGTTCAACTGTTCTATTTGGAGCTCTGACTAGCCATCTACATACGAATATGCAGATAAAGATTTTATACCATCTCTATACCATGTGCTTTTGCTAGATGAGAAACCTCGCTGCCATTGCACACTCCCTCGCTACGGTGACGCAACGCGGGCGCTACAAATTAGGTGACTGGCTGCATAATATTTCGGGGGAATTTGCTAGATAGAGCTATGTACGGCATGTATGTCCATGGGGCATCCAGTTGATCTTCGATGTCTTCAATGCGCAGTTATTTGGACCAAATGAGAATCTCACGTAAGCCCCCATTGCATCACGTGCCTTCTGTGTACCCATTAAAAGAGGGGCCAGCTTTAACTCTATCGTTCCCTCTACGCTTTCCGAGTGTTTTCGATAGCCTCTTCAGTCTATAATTATTTAACTAGTCAATAAGTCCTCAGTTATCAAGTCTTCAAAATGGCCCAAAATGAGGATATCAACCCACGCCCATTCAACCCCCGCCCATTCTGTCCGATTCCCCGAGTCATCGAGCCTCAGCAACGTATTAAGCAGCTTAGAGAATATTTGGAAGATCCGGCCCCCAAAATGCAACGCCACAGAACTAACATTCAAGGACTCATCCGAATGTATGAGACTGGGGAACTCGGGCCCCTTGTCTTTCCTGGTCAGGAGACGATCTGGATCTGCGAGGGGAAGATCATGGATCCGCCGCCTCGCCTTGATGACCTTGTGCACATTATTCCACATTCTGCTGTATGGGCCGAGGTTAGTTTCAACCTTCTACCTTCGCTACATTTTAATAATTCCTAACCATTCATCTAGGGATTTTATCAGCAGTTGATGCAGCAGACTTCTCCCCAGATAACTACCTTGAAATAGTGATCGAAATAGTGGTGTGGTATAGTGGCCTAGGATTGATCCGAACCAGAGGGATGAGTCTCCGTGGCGCACTAGAACTACTATATCTCGTTGATTATCGTTGTCAGTGCTACCCTACATTCTTAATGCTGTCCTACATAATCAATCAAAGTTTACGATGGTCGCCTTCGAAGGGAACCTCGAAGGAGGAAGTAACTCATGTAAGACTATCAGGGTGAAGATATAATCCGGAAGCAATCCTAACAAACATCGCTTGGCCACATGGAATTAATTGCTTAATCACTATGGTGCTATCAGGATACTGAGATTCCATATTAGAAGCATTCAGTTCGCCTTTACCAAACTGATAAAAAAAGAACCCTACACAAGGTGGAGTCACAGTGCAGACCTACTGACTGAATTCCATTTTACCAGAAACAGCTCCAGTGTACTGAACATTTCCATTGTAATACAGCAAAGGAACCTTCAAAGTTCAAGTTCCTCTCAGAGCATCGCCACTAGGATCAGGCAGACAGGACTGATGGTCAATGACGCCTAGAAAATGATCCGGGCATTTCCTTCATGCATATTTGGGAAGCAAATAGCGGCACAACAACCTTCGTCTGAAGAGCAGTGGAAAGATGGGTAAAACGGCCCTTAGGGCTATCACAGAGTCTAGGACCAAGAAGGCACTCGATATGTCTGAGATAGCGTCCGATTGTACCTTCTAGTCTCTTTTCGGCACATCTTCATCATGGCTATGTACTTGTGAAGGTGCAAAATCAACGTCTAGGGTAATGTATACCTTCTGACATGATAGAAGAAGTGACAGGAAAACTGGAGTTGCAACGTAGCCCACGAGTGGTATGAAGGTGAACGCCGTACTCGTAGTTATGTCGTAGATGTATAGAGAACTCGATTGTCGTGTCCGAACGATAATTTGAGCATCTTCCTGAACCTAGAACGCGATGACTAACCTCAATCCTAATTCGTGTGTTAGGGGAAGCGTTGATAACAGCGAGCTTCGCAGATGCTTGCGTGGATGCGTAAAACCGGGGTTCCGAGCCCGTCCGTGATCGTTCTCGGGAGCTTCTAATATTTTCGATCTTGTCATAACTCCGTTCCCTCTTCGTCTTGCGGAAAGTAGAGCTCGACACGTTCCAAGATACAGGGCCCTAGCTCACGCTTGGGCGCTAAGCGTAACGGAACTGGAATTGTTAGGTTCATGTTCGGTATGATGAGAGTAGGAAACAAAAGGATAATGGAGGGCAGAGCACGGGATCTGAGGATGAGTGACAAGATATTACTTACTCGACCATATATGCTGTAGATATCCAAGCTAAGACAGATAAGTGCATGCCCTTGTTGCTTATACTTGGGTTGAGAAAAATACGACACAGTCACACAGACGCAAGGGAGATGAGAAGAGACCCTTACTATGGCGTGCTCGGAATAAATCTCCAAAAAAAAGGGGACTCGGGGACCAGGAATACGGAATCCCGAGCGAGAATAACGAGGCTATGTTGGCAAGGGCGAGAAATGAACGCAACAGGAAAGTCAAAGCCCCACAATTTAACCAACCGAATCACTAGTCAATATAGGTATATGACAAGGTGCTCGTATAAAACAAGCCAGACGCCTCCCGTCTAGGCAAGACGAGGCTGAAATCGAAGGGCATCTCCGAGGAGAAAGACAAGAATAATGTACGATGTACTTCGTGTCGCGGAGACCCTTATTCCCATGAGCACGGTTATGCCACCATAACCATGTCTTAAGAGTCAGCTGGCTCAGATGAACGGCACAACGCCACATTATTTCCTTTTTGCCTCTTCCTATCGGCTGTTTCTTCTCTTGTAAGCCTCTATTATATCCACAAGTCTTGGATATGCGCCTATGGAACCCGAGTAGCGGCAGGAATGTCTTGCGTGATATGGTCGAAAGTGCCGAGGGATGCACTAGGAAGACTTAGCAAGAAACCAAGGTGGAAAAAGTAAACAGAGATAGTTGATACGTCTGCTAGTCTTGTGGCACCATGTTTTAAGTTAAGGGCGCATCTCTAAGAGGTAGTACTCTGTACTCCGTACGGAGTACTGCTTTAGTACTTTATTATTTAGAATATCCCGCTAGACGCGGGCCGACGAGAAAGCTCGATGACGTGATTTAGATCTTGATTGCGCCTTTACAAAGTGGATGAAAAGTCTGCAGGTGACAGGGGGAAGAGACCTGCATATGCTAGGTAAGCATTGAGCTATGCCCTCAAATTTTGCCCGTTGGAGAGTCGTAGCTATGTTGTATGGCTTCGTGTCGAGGGTTTCTCTACTGGGCTGACAAGGTTCTGTGAAAGCTGGTCACTTACGGAGTAGAAATTGCGTGACTACCTCCGTATGCAAAGAGGCAATGGCCTACGGAGTACTCCGTAAATTTTGTGTGCATGCTCCCCTACATCCGGAATATGCACCTAACAGATAGAGTAGCGCCGAGCCCAAACGGGACCCCACGCGACACCTTTGACTCAAATGGATTAAAGATGAATGGACTACTCCGTAACGGGTGGAAGGGACGCGGCAGATGAGCAATATAAATTAGATCCCGAGGTCCGTGTGGAGCTGCAGGCATATTGCTCCCGAGGTCTTTCCATTAAAAAAACCACCGTTGAAGCTATACACTTATGTAGACATGATATTCAAGGCGGTGGCCCCGGGCTGGAATAAAGTTAATCAGCTAAGAAGATTCTTGAAACACCAGAAAACCCGCCGGGGAACGTACCACCAAAGCGTGGAATCTCTTTTGTGCCTTTCACCATCTCTTCTCCAGATTGCGTGTTCTAAACGGTGTGTGATTGGTCTTTGGGTCCCACTCGTTGATCTTCTTGGCGCGAACCTCATCAGGACGCGTTGCCATTCGTCACCCAGAACCCCTTGGCACTACCGACAGCTTGTCCGGTTTAGTCCTCGGACGTTTATATTCGTCGAATTTATGATGACATGGACTCCCAGGCGAGGCGAATATCATGAGAACAATGAATAGTCCAAGGGCTATGCGTGATAGTGCTTAAAACAACCAGCACATAAAATTCAAGTATCCCGCCTCATCTCGACCACGGACTGCATGCAAAAAAAAACGGATATACTCCACGACCCGTCGTCATTTCTACCAGGCCGAGTGGGACCTGCGGATGTGCGAGATCGTCGGTGGACCCGGCTGCCGCGTGAAATTCGTGGTTTTTAACAACGTGGGCTCGCTTTCAGCCAGGTTTTGCTTTTTCTTGTGAATTTTCTATCTCAAACTTGCACTTTATACAAGTCTAGCCCTCGTCTAATCCTTGCAACCCTTGCCGGAAGTCCAACCCAAGCGAGCCAAGCGGAAAATT